AACAAGACACAATTCAATACTATCAGACTGGCAGAAATTAAAAACCTGCCATTAGAAAGATTGGGAGGATGTGAAGCTGTGGGGACCCACGTATACTACTGGTGTACAGGTAAATTGGTACAGCCACTCTGGAGGGAAATGCACAACCCCTTTCAACCCCCAATCAGGGGATTTGTGAGCAAATAATCTTACCCAAGACCCCATGGGGTGGCACACCCCTGGTGGGTCTTGGTGCTGATTCTCACTCCAATCTCCTGCTGCATTCCCAGAATAAGCCAGACACTAAGACACAAGCAGGTGCCCCAGTGCCTCCATGCAGGTGTGGTCTGCTCCTCAGAGGCCCTCGGGTCTGTGGCACTGACAGTAGTAGAGAAACCTCTCTACACCCACATCTCACTGTAGGATTGAGAAGGCTCTTCCAGGTCTCCCTTCCCGTTTGCTCCTGTACGGAAACCAGCTGAGATCCTGGGCATTGAAATCACTTGGCAAATGGCTGAGAAGTGAAACGACTTGATTTATTCATTTAACATTTGCTAGAATTTGACCACGAACCAGCCCTGTGCTGAATATTCCAGGATAGCTGAATCATACATGATCTCTGCCCTCAAGGAGCTCCCAGCAGGTGGGGAAGACAGGTGAGCACACAGAGCATTGCAGTACTGTACAACAGGGTGCTAATGGAGGTGTGCATGGCAGTGGCAAAGGACACTGTCCCATCTGTTTGGAAAGGCCCAAGAAGGAAACCCTGAGATGGGTCTTGAAAGGTGAGGAGAAAGGGTCCAAGGAAAGGGAATAGTATATGCAGAGATGCCCCACATAGTATGTCTTGTGAAGGTTATGCGGCCGCCTTCTACAGAAGGACTCCCTGTCAGGTCGAGGCGAGCCATTGGCCTTCTGAGAGCCGGAGGTTCCAAGAAGCCACAGGGGAAGCCCCTTCCTTCATCACCCAGAGACTGAACGCTTCCATGATTCCTTTTCCTTTTCCTCGTCCCTTTCGCCACCAGCCTATCTCCATCTCTGCCCTGTCCACCTCCACTCAAGTGTGGGCCAGTGAAGTCCCAGGCCTATGGGCCATGCTGCTGCAGGGAACTCCTGCATCATTGTCCCGGAGTTTTCTCTGAAGGCCCACATCACCGTCTTGGTTTCCGCAGCAACCGCGGGGTCAGCTCCAAGTGAGCCCACCGGCTGTCCCTGGCAGATGGCATCATTGTGGAGCTTCAAAGGCCCTTGTCACAGGGCAGCAGATGTGGGGATGACGCTCACACTCAGACACACACATACACATACAGCACAAAGATCCCCGGGAGGGCGGGCTGGGGCCGGGACGGAAGTGGAGGCACCTGCTGTGGCTTCTCTTTCTCTCTTTTTAAAAATCAGACACTTGCGTGCAAAGCCCCCTAACCCCAAATGGGGGCCTCTGCAAATAGCTCCTTGGAGGGACTGCTGATGAAGAGGGGGCTTAGGCCAGGATATCGTCATTTGGCGGCTGCAGGGCTGGGGAGGCAGCTGTGGGTGGGCTGGAGGGAGGGAGGGGTGGGGCCTCCCAGATGCATTTCTAAGTATCAAGTACCCGGCTTATTCTGGGTTGCCTCTCCAGGGTCTCATTGTCTGGAAAGGACTTGTTTATCCCCAGTCTGAGCAGTTCCTCCTCCTGGAAGCCTTCATC